TAGAATTAATCCTAAATTGCAATGCCAATTTATAGGCAGAGGAAATAAGAACTATACTTATTAACTAACGTGATTATTAATCACGCATTAAATAGTTGAAATACTTTTGCCAGCTAGTGTCAAATGTAGGTACATAGTTGTTGCAATTATTGTTGTTTTGCTTTTATTTTGGCGATTGAGTTTTCGTTTTCGTATTAGCGTTGGATTATGTCATGCAATTAACAATGGCACATTGTAGCCGATGTTGTTGTTGTTGTTGCTGCTGCTGCTGCTGCTACTGGCATTGCTGTTTCTGGTCGATACTGTTACTGTTACTGCCGTTGCTGTTGGCTTTGTTAGCGGCACGTTTTGCTCAACGTTGAAATGCTTGCATTTTGCATTGCAGCAAAGATCTGCCTGCATAACCCCTCTGCCCGCCCACCCTCTCTCCAACACTAACACACCTCATTCTTCTCTTGCGCTCTCTCTACCTCCCTCTCTCTCTCTCTCTCTCTCTCTCTGTATCTGCATCTCCCTCTCCGCATGTGCGCGGCTGCGTGCACTTTTTGAACTTTTGCGGTTTTGCTGTTGTTGTTGGTGTTGTTGCGCAGCGCCAGCTACCGTTGCACGGCCACGTAGTAGTCAACAGTTGCGCTGCTGCTGCTGCTGTCGATGTTGTTGCTGTTGTTGTTGTTGTTGCTGTAGCAGTGCATGTAATTAACGAACATTGACATGTCTAGTTATGCGTTCGACAACTGTGCAACAGCAAATTGACGTAAGCGCGTGCGTCACCAACAACAACAACAACAACAACAGCAGCAATAAGAGCAAGAGCAGCAATGCGATCGCTTAGCGTGACTTTGGCATTGGACCGACATCGGCACATAATTCAGTTCAACAATTGCAGCTTACACGTGTGCGTTTTTGCGCGCCATTGGGCGCTTTAATTGCGGGCTATGGCTATGGCTACGGCTATGTCAAGGCTGTTTAGGCAGGCGTGGCACGCAACAGAAAAGTAAATGAATTTATTTAAATGCTAGCAACACTAACCACAAGATGATCGCATTCACACCTATGTATGTATGTGTTCTGAGGCATAGTTAAATGAGTTAAATGAGTTGTTGCCAGTGCTTTTGATTTTTGACGCTTGAACAAATTTGAATATTCATCAAAAAAATGCAAATATTTGAGCTAAATTGAGCGATTTTCGAACTAAGTTTGATTTGTTCAGTTAAAAACTGCCTTCATTATTTTACGCAATGAAGAGCATTCATTCAACTCCAATTCGTTGGGGCAGTGTATGCAGCGTTGATTTACTTTCCTCTAAAACTTATGATTGCTGGGTATACGAGGTGTTCCAGAGTTTCAATAGCTTCTTGTTTCTTGCATTTCGTGAGTATGTCGTGTGGGCTAGCCCGATTCCTTCCTTCGCCAGAGTGATGTTTATAAAGCATTTTCTTTTCATTGTTATTGGACATAATAATAAAATGTTTCCCTTTTTACTTTCTGAGACATACAGTGATGGACAAAAATTAGAAACGAACAAATTTCTTCGCTTATTCGAATTAAGTAAGTGTTCAAAAATACGGATAAACACGAATAAATTGCGTTGAAAATAAATTAATTTAAAAATTATGGAACATTGACTTTCCCTCACTTGAGGCTAGAAGATAATCCACGGCAACTTTGGCAAATTGTTGCCTACAACTTTTCGCAATCTAAGCGTTCATACAGACAAACAAATGGACAGACAGTCGAACAGGGCTAGATCATAAGCACGCTTCGGTAGAGTTTATAAACGTTTCAGTCCCTTAAAGAAATGGTTCAAATTCATTATGTTCGTTCATGAATAAGCCAACACATGTGTGTTATGGTTTTAGATATATGTATATTGTTCACACCTTTCAACAAGCTGTCGATATCCCACCACCAGCACCACCAACAACAACAACAAAAAGAACTGAAAACACTTCACTTAAGATTCGGGTGCGCCTTCATTGTTGCCACCACTTGAACTGCTTTGCCCGCACATTGCAATTAGTGTTAAAAGACACAAACATGCCGCCACCAACACCGTCGCCTGTGCTGCCATGACGTTGACCAGAGCCAGGAAGAACTACTAATTGGCCTAATTCTCCATTCTTTCTTCTGGTTTTTTTTTTTTGGCCAACCAGCCAAGGCCCACGCAACAGCACGACGGACGCGCCTCATAAATAAACAAAAACAGAGGCAACAGCCGAGGAGGCGAGCGTCGCGCGAACATATCGGCAGGAACAAGAAGCAGAACAAGCCGCCAACATGGGTGTCAGACAAGCCAGCGAGCCAGCCAGCCAGCCAGCGAAGCAAACGTCAATATGCAGATGAGGCAGCGATCATGTTGCCTTAACGGCGCGCCAGTCCGTTCCGGTACGTGTGAGCTGATATGTTGGGTGGTCTGTTCCAAATCAATTGCTCCCCATCCATCCCCTTGCCCGCTCAATTGAAGCGGGGCAGAGCATAACGAAAACGACAGACCCCAAGAACGCCGCCGCCGCCGCCGCCGCCAACACCACCACCACTTTGCGGAAGAGGAAGGAGTCAACCATCGAAGCATCCGACTGACCATTTCGTTCAGTTATGCTGCTCTGCTGCTGACTGGCCCGGCACCGGCCCCGGCCCCGGCTGTGTTTATTTTGCATAAATGTTGCCCCAAATATTGCAGCTGTAAACACATAATGAACGCAGTAGGATCCCTCGATCGGTTCGTGATTATGCTGCTCTCCCTCCACCCCTCTTCCTCTCTCTCGCTCTCTCTCTCTCTCTCTCTCTCTCTCTCTGGCTCGATCTCATCATCAGCTTTAGCTTCAGCTGCCTTCGCCGTTTGCTGTGTAAATATTTGTTTAAAATTCCGCACGCCTACCAACAGCAAGCAGCCCTCCAGGCCAAGTGCCCACAACCCCCCATCCCCCATTCCCCACCTATATTCAGTGGCGATCCGTTCCGCAAATACCATGAAAGCGCGACCACCAAAGATTGTCGGCTGGACCCAACAGCAACTGCCTCGAAAGTACAGTGAATGTACAATATGGGGCATATACATAGTATTTGTAGTTTCATTTCAAGATCAGTTAAGACTAGGAAGAATGCGTTGTAATAATACTCGTAAGACATTTAAAATAGAATAGAATAGATTTTAATATCAATAATAAATTGCAATATCCATCAGTAATTGCTAGGAAAAACAAATTGAGAATTTTAACCAAATTGTTGGTTTTTCTATTATTAAGAAATAATTGATTTAAAACGAATCTTATATGGGAGTTCCTTTATTAACAGAGTTGCGAACTTATTCATTTTCTGATTTTTACTTCATATCGAATATAGACTTTAAGCTAAGTGCCATGGTCATCATCATCATCATCGACGTTGTCGCTGTCCCCCTCAACACCCGCCCACATCCTTCTCGACGACGCTTTTGTAAACAAATCAGCCGCCGGACTACAGCGACGAACTTTTTATTGGCATTGGGCATCGGGTATTGGGGCTCGTCGCAGCACTTTTGTTGCTTCGTTTTTATTGACTTCACTTCAAGCACTCCGTGCTGCACAAGCTTCATGGTCTCTCCATATACTCGACACTAACGCCCACATGTGCAACTCAGCCGTTGCCGACGGACGGCAGGGAGCAGACAGCAGACAGCAGTCGGCAGTCTTCCATCTTCAACACCTTCTTGCGGCCCCATCCCGGGCCTATATATGTACATACATATGTATGTACTCGTATGTATGTTCGTTCATATCGCATCTGTTTGGCGTCTCGAATTGTTGTTTAGATTTGGCCTCCGTTTTGGGTTCATAATTTCAATTGACTTTTGCGTATAAAATACTATTTATTTCCATATGCTGTGCTGCCGAAGCATCTCAAACGGATATGGTTTGATTAATTGTTGCCTTTTAGAATTCCAATGTTTATATTATAGCCAAGCCGCCATCTGATTATCATGTTTGGATAGAGCACTATAGAGTCCCATAGAGTTGAAGTACCACCGCCCCGTTCGCCTTCAGTAGCTGTTGTAGTTCTTGTTGTTGTTCTTTTTTTTAAACAAACTCTGCCACTCGATTTGTTTGGGTGGTATGTTCAATTTCAAGAAAGCTGTCGGCGCAGCACTGTGTTGATTTGTTGAAGGCGCATAAAGTTTTTGACAGATTTCTGAAATGTTTATAAGCGGCTGCGGGATTTATAAAATATGTTAACAGCATCTGAATACTAATAATATCATGTTGAATTATTCAAAAAGCTCAATAATCATACATCATGTGGGTTTTATGGCGAGGTGAATTCATCAATATAATGTTTACAGAGAAAAATTTCTAAAACTTTAATTGTTTATTGAAAATCATTTAAAAGAGACCTAAATATTTTAAAAGTTTTTTTTTGATAATTAAAATGTTACTTATCGATTAATTTCACTTGTTTCTTATTTACAGCAATTGTGATTTAAAATTACTAAGGTTTTTGTGCCCTATGTGAACATGCAATAAAAACAAAATCTTTATTGATGGCTATAATTTCCTTCAGAGTGAACTTATCTCAATGAAAATGTTGACTCTATTTTATGTGAATGGTAAATTCTTTATCATACCTTCCGAGATAATTATACTTTGTGAAGTCTGACACGAATATAATTTGATGAACTGGGGGGAGGCCAGGGGCTTAGGGAAGCTTGGATACAAAGTTTGGTTATTTTAGATCTTGTACTTCCTGGGATCCTGGGTTCATACAAACGGATGTCATACTATTCAATAATATGAAAGTTTTTTTTCGATTTCCCAATTCAAATACTATTAGATATTAATTTAAAAAGAATTAGAATAAATGATATGACAGAAATCAAATCAAGCAAAAAAACCAAAATAGGTAGCACTATTTTCTCGATTTCTTAATCAAAGTGATTAGAACCATGAGAAAACATGCAAATAAAATTAAAAATAAAAAATAAAATTGTTTGGTAAAAAAATTTGCGCAACACGCAAGTTGGTTGCTGCTCCAGGTGAGGCTCGAACTCACAACCTCGGCATCGCTCATACTGATTATAAGTACCGCGCGGCTAACCAATTGCGCCACTGGAGCTGTGGGACGAGCGCTGCCAAATGCACAACAAAAGCACAGGCGGCCACGAGTGTAGAACATTCGTTCAACTGAGCAACCGAGTGATGACTAGTGAGAGCGAGAACGAAGTGTTTGGCAAAGGCACTCGGATGAGTCGTTCTGCTCGACAGAGAGAGAGGAATGAGTGAGAGAAGGGGTGTCGCTGGTCAGTGTGGTTGCTTTGGCATGTTGTGTGTGTGTGTATGTGTGTGAGTGCAAGAGTACGCGCGCATGCCAAATACGATTTTGCTTTTAGGGGTTTGTATTGTGAGTGTGTGTGTGTGTTGTTGTTGTTGATAAGAATTAACATTTAAATTAAGCACATTAAATAAATACATGTACTTATAATGAATGCATGAAAGAAATAAAATGTCCCACTTGCTGAGTCATTCTATTTCAGATTATTAAACAATTCTGTGCGTCAATTCATTTGAATTATGTATGTATGTAAATAACAAATGTAATCGCATTTAAAAAATACAATTGAAAAGTAAAAACTGTTTAATATTAACCAATGAAAAGTGAAATTTGTTTAGTTGCAGTTTTACTTTCAATTATCGCGAGCACTAGCTAGTAGCTGCCGCTGTAGCTACCTCACTAAACAAACTACCATCAAACAAAACAGCCAGCGATCGATCCATTAAATAATGTAAATTTTATGCTTTTCACTTTCATTTGACGCTGACGATGCGAACAGGTGCAGTGATTACACAAAGACCGTAAAACCTGAGCCCTCGTAACTGCTGCTGCTAGCCATAACAGTTCGATTTCAAATGAATTGCAAAAACGGCGAAAAAAAAAAACACAAAACAACAAACGAAAAATTACCCCAGTACCGAGAAACCTCCAAGTCAGCCAGCCAGCCAGCCAGTCTGTCTGTCAATCTGTCCGTAAGTCAGGAAATGCAAATTGCGCTAATTACAGTGGGCACATAGCGTTACTTTAATCGCATCTATAACTGCATCGAATACACTACACACACTCACACACATGCGAGGGCAAGCTAAAGATTTCCCTGACAGGTTTGCATCTCAATGTCATGCCAGCCGAACTCTTCAATACTCCGTACCCACACTTTTCACCGCTACTGTCATTTAATGAAAATACACGTTATTGTACTAATCGATCTTATAAAAGCCATATTATATAGTGCAGCGATTTTGATGAAATTCAGATATTAATTAAGCAAAAGAGTGTTGGCCGGGATTGTTCCTATGACCGCTGTAAACCGATTTGCATGAAACTTTAGAAGCCCCATAAATTTTCTTAACATTTTCATAAACTAAAAAGTTATCCTATTAAGAGTCATTTTTGGATCACATCAATGGGAACTAGATTAAAAAATGAGGCGCGTATTAAATTAAAATTCTAAAATAGTACAAGTATGGAAATCTCTTGGCAGGTCGACCAGACATCCTTAGCATCCTCCTCACTGATGTGTTTATAATTTTTTTCATGGGTAGCAATATTGTTGTTTTCTAAGAATTCTAGGACACTTTAAAACATCCATGAATCAATTGCTTTTTGGAATCTTTTTTTTGGATTGGCGTTCTTGTTGAGCTTATCAGAGAAATTCGCGAGAAACGTTGCGCTGTTGTGCCACATTTCTATTGATGTGTATCCAATTAATATTTTAAAAGTTTAATATCGTGCTTTGAGTTTCTGCTTTGGTTGAAGATTAATTACTTCATTTGAAGTGTTATAAACATGAAACATATTTTAAGCAATCATTGCAAGTTTTCGAGCTCCTCTCGCACATACTTGTAGTACCACAGTATGAAAAGAGTCAGCAATGAACAATAAAGTACAACAAATAACGATAAAAAAAATCCCGCTAGCAACAGCAACAACAACAAATCCAGCGACACTCGGTGCCATGACAAATGACCATTGTATGACATTAATAATAATAATAATTTAATGTTGGAAAAATGATTTTGCAATGGAAAAACTAAGCGTAAGTCGTTGTCATGTCATGTCGTAATTAAAAAATTAAAAGCGACAACAACAATAACAGCCGGGTGGGCTGTAAATTATAATAAAAATCCTCATACACATGTACATACATAGCATATGTATGTACATATGTACATATGTATGTATGCAGTTGTATTTATTAACAATATAGCATGCAGTTTTCAATTATGTACAAATGGAGGCACTTTAAAGAAGTAACTGATGCTGAGTTGCAGAAATTGTGACGACGTCGATCTTACGTGTATTCGTTCTTATAAGTGCATGGCGGGACCAACTAATTACAATAACAATAACAACAACAACTTCTAACTGTAAAATAATCTTTGTAATAAAAAAGTAAACAAATAATAATAAATTCATGCAACAGATATACAAGTAAGATCAGAAAAATGACTGAAATCGAATTACATACCTACATACGTATGTACATCATGAATATACATACATATATATATATACATATATGTACATACATATATACGATTGGTCATATAGGATGGCAATAGAATCAGTTGGCTTCACATATCAGCGCAGGTTTCATCGATGGCGCCAATAAAATCAAACAGTGACAGTCAACAATGAAATTGGCACAAATTGCTTTGCTCTGAGCAAATGCGATTACAATACTCGTAAGTAACGCCAGTCTATTGAATCGAATCTAAGCATACATATGTACATATGTATGTATATGCAAATACATATGTAATTACTTAGGAACTTAGTTTGTGGCTCTGCTGTTAAAAGGGTGGACGTTTCAGTGAAGTATTTGAAACCAATTTAGAATATTTTTTAAAATTCCTCTACTTCCTCCAATGCAAAAGCCAACTTATATGAAACTACAAGTATAAGTAAAACATTGCGCTTATACTACTAGGTATTCACATGTTTGAGGGTAACACTATTGAAATATGTTCCATCCTGATAGAAGACGTATTTTATGAATGTCATAAAAGCTATCCAATAAGGATCACTTGCAATATACACTGTTATTTTATAGCCATATATAGTATACATACATACTTATACTATGTTATTAAAAAGCAAGAGCCCTAAAACTCGACTGAATATTTAGATAATTCTTAAAAACTATAATTGAAAAGCCTAAATTAAATAATTGACAACCTATATTTTGTGGTTATAAAGAACAGATATCAATATTTGTTGATTGTTTCGCTAATCTTTTTATGAACTACCCAAACAGATATGTTATTAGAAAGTATTTACTTTATCATACTTTATTATAAATCGTGAAATCTCTTCGCAAGATATCTATGTACATTAAAATAAGAAGCTATCATAAAAGGTTGATAAATAAGATTTAACGAGGCTACATTAATACTACTGCGTTATTTGGAAAATATGAGTAATGCTGGCGCCCACCCAAATAGCTTAGATTTTAAAAAGAAAAACATCATATAAGCTTACGAGTAAATTACACACAACATAGATAATTCGCTTGTAATGCTTGTTGTTTTAGGTTGTTGTTGTTGTTGTTGTTGACTGCCGTTCCGACTGCAGCTTATCAGCCTGCACTTGTAGCGCCAAGCAGGCCGCGCACTTGCACTTTCAGGCAAAGCTCAAGCTGATATTGCTAGGCATGGACTCAGATAGATCTGGGGAAAAAAGTGGAGCGCGCGTCGGGGCGACAAATAGACGCCAACGCCAGACGAGACCAGACCGGGCCAGGGCAGCCAGCTGTTGACGCCGGGCAACATTGACCAACACATAAGAGAGATAGTCGATGATATTGATGGGACAGTCGCAGACGATTGGCCATGCTGGACTCGCCTTCAGATTTATTATTGACTCAGCTGCATTTGCTGGTTGAACTTTGCAATGTTTGCGCCTTCCTACATACGACTTTTACCCACGGACGGAGTGCGTGAAATGTGGAAACTGGTGAGGGGGAGGGGGTGGGGGGAGAGGAGCCACTTGCGATGAATTGCCTGACAGCATCTCTGTCTTTTAACGTGTTTTTGTTATACTCTCTACCTGAAGAAATACTAAGTAGAGAGCCCTAAAGATGTATGTTACAGGAATATGTATGTTTGGAGTGACTAGACGAATTTGTTTGTCTGTATGAACAGCGATAACTTTTCAACCATATCAACTAAAGACACAAAACTTGTTGTGTAAACTTGTCTTATCCAAATGCATATCAACTTTATTTTATAGTTGCATTCTTTTACATTGCCCCAATAGTTCTCATGAAACTATTTTATTTATATTTTATACATATATCTTAACCAAATTTCAATAATGATACAAGTTTGTCGAAATCGTTGCACTTTATCAGCAAATATTTATAATGCCTCACTATAATCTGAAATTTCATCGAAATTGATGCACTATATCATAAAGCTCTCATAGAACGGATCTGCGAAGACATCCCTCTAAGTAACATAAACTTTTCGCTTATGAAATTATAGGTAAATCCTATAATTTTGGTAATGTAAAGCTACTATGTCGAAATAGTGCTCGTATTTAAAGCTATCATAAAAATTGTTGGTTCTACAAACTATATTTTAGTTGAAGGACTGCATGACTGTCTGTGCGAGGGGCGGTTAGAGGGTATTCAAGATTCGGCAACGACTTACACGCATGTGTAGCGCCCTCTCCCCCGCCCCAACATCAGTGCACTCTTCAAACAGGCACGTCTGTGGACAAACTGTGCGCACTTTGCATGATATTTGTTTCGTTTATTTGACTTTCTCATTAACTTTTGCTTACTCTTGCGGTCGCTTACTCAGTCCGTCTCAGCTTCTCTTTGAATACATATGTACAAATCACATACATACATACATATGAGTAAGTTAAGTATATTGTGTCTTTAGCTGAAAGTCCCATTCCCCCAAGATTTTCTGTGTGTGCCCACCTGATCAAACCTCAAGTCACATTTTTATTTTATTTCATTATTTTTTTTTTGCTGGCGGCCACTCAGTCCGGTCACCTGCTTGTGGGAATTTTTTGTTGATTTTGTGATTTGCCAAGTTTGCGTACAAACA